TACCTCTTTTTACTTTCTTCAATTACATTTTTACTTACCCTTAAATATAAAAAAAGTCTTAAAAATCAAACATTTTTTGCAGTTTTGAAGCTGCTGTCGTGATTTCTTTTGTAGGAATCTGCCGGTCCATTGCGTATTTTGGATGTTGGATGCGGTGTGGGCAATGCGACAATACCACTTCTTCAGACATTTTCGCACTCGGATCAAATTTTTGTTTATGCTTGTGACTATTCACAGGAAGCTATTGGTATTTTAAAACAGCTCACGGATGACCAACGCTGTAAACCGTTTGTTTGGGATATAACGGGACAGATGACGGATGTAGTACCTCCAGAATCTTTGGATGTGATCCTCTGTGTATACGTACTATCTGCACTTCCACCTGAAAAACATCGGCAAGCGGTTGAAAATTTGTCAAAGTAAGATTTTCGTTTCGTAAAAAAAATTTTTTTTGGCAATTTTCCACATTTTTGACCAAGATACTTCCTCATATGTTATTGGTAGCGAGCAAGGAAGTTATCAAGAAAAGCGAGGTAAAAATTCTGGTAGCCTTAATCATACCGAGACAGTACGCTATCGCATTTTGATTAGCTAAGCTTGGGCAGTACGAACCAATGTCAGCCTGATCAGCGACTGGTAATACAGTAAAAATTTTTTAAATCTGTGCAAAATGCAAAAAATGCGCTATGTAGTGTGGCATGGAATAGAAGGGGTAGAAAAGGCCATAGAGGCGCAGCCAAGAAGTGATCATTCCTAGTGGAAATTTCAGCGTTGTGGTAGACGAGGGTCTTCCATCCGAATGCCACATATTCGTCCAAAACATAGCGGAGTGGGGCACTGTACTGATGATTCCCACTCCATTCCGCACGACTCTGCCGTCTGTGTTTACAGTTTAGGGATGGAACACAGACCGGACAACAGCTAATATATATACAGGCTCGCTTATCTGGTTATCTGAATTAGCACTCACTGCTTTCCCACAGTTGACTATATTCGACTGTGTTCCTTTCATTGGCTGGCCTACAGCGCCAAACAAACATCCATAGTTTACATTTTTCAAAATTTTTCAAAAAACTTCCAAAACACTTGGTAATAAAAACCTCAGTACCATGCAGAAAGAAAAATGAACAGATGCAGTGGGCTTGGTATTTTTATGAAAAAGTTCACAGTTGTTTTTGGTCTGTTAATCATTGTATCGTTTATCATCGCCATCGATGCAACTGTCATCTTTTTTATCACTGACTTAGAGTTTGTTGAATGTATTGCCAGGGTTCTGATGACTTTTTTTCCCTCAGCTACCATTCTCGGTACTGTTTTTTTCCAAGTTTTCATTGAGCAGTCCAAAAATGAAAAAAATCAGTTTGTCTTCTCTTCTTTTTTTCATTTCTTTTGCATGGCAGGTGTAGTTTTTCATTTGTTATAATCGCTTGATTAATGTCATTCATGTTAGACTAAAAATGTAGTGCTTCATTAAAAATGTGCTGCAACTTGCTGACATCTACCACGCGCCACACATGTGGCAGTTTGAATTTTCCGGAATTCATTTATACAAACAATCATCATTTTGCTTGTAAGCATTCCTCAGAAGATGATGCTGACATTCGAGACACTCTGTAATACCTCAGTTCTCTACAGAGAGTGTGAATTTGCAGAAAGTTTTCGGATTTTAATATATTTCTTTATTTAATAGTTCATATAGATGAATGTTTATATCTCGTTTTCCAGATTGCTGAAACCTGGAGGTGCTCTTCTATTGAAAGACTATGCGCAGTTTGATATGACGCAGTTACGGTTCAAGAAAAATCGCCTAATCGATGAGAATTTTTATCGACGTGGTGATGGTACACTGGTTTATTTTTTCACACAAGAAGAATTGCACAGGCTGTTCACTGAAGCAGGGCTGGAAAAAATTGTGAATATACTCGATCGAAGGCTGATCGTTAATAGGGCCAAGTTAGTGAAAATGTATCGTATGTGGGTGCAATGCAAATATGTTAAGGGTACTAGATAATTTTTAATCTCAGGAATTTATGTTGCAAATGGAAGAAGCGGCACGCATGACGAGCAAGGAGTGAAGTTGGCCGAACTCTTTTTCTTGTCTCTGTTGCTGCAATTCAAATATTAATTACATATAGTTCTCGAGGTTTAGATCATTATAAACTTTCTACTTTACATCAAACATCCTTTTCTAAGTGCCTATTTTATTTTTCTAAATATTTTAAACCTAAAAGTAATAATTTTCGAGGCTTACTGCATTATGTACGGCAAAAACCTGATAGGTGTTGCAATATAAATACAGCATATTATACAATACCTAAGCATTCAATATACTTATAATTCATATTTATAACGTATTTTCAAATATTTAAAATATATGTTGCTTCTGGTGCGGCATAAAAAAATCGATAGATCGAAGAAACCAAAATTGGGTGCTAGGCTGAGCCGATGACAAAAAAATGATTTATTGTATGACGCATAGACACTGTGAAGAATGGGTTATCATCACGAAAAAATCATATTACAGGTAATATGTCAACAAAGTTCATGTAACGGCAACTGATACAAGTAAACACCTGTGTTCCTTGTGTAAAGCTCGAGTAACGCATACTTCCCAATGGTGCCCGCCCAGTTATACAAGTAACGACCATTTCTGGGTGCGATGTGTGAATGTTTGCCGTAGATTACTTGGATTGATGAGCTACTGTCTCACCGAGTTCAAGTAATGGCCAGAAGGTCGTGTACCATAGCCCGATCGTTCGTGTAACCGTTGGGCCATAGCCCGATTGTTCGTGTTATCCAAACCACTACGAAAAAGTGTAGAATTCACGTTGATTGGATGGACAAGACTGCAAGGTGGGAGAAGTAAAAAATAAGTGAGTGAAGTGAGA